CTCTCTCTCTCTCTCTCTCTCTCTCTCTCTCTCTCTCTCTCTCTCTCTCTCTCTCCCTCCCTCCCTCCCTCCCTCCCTCTCTCCCTCCTTCCCTCTCTTTCTTTCTCTCTCCCCTTCATGGTTACTGTCTCAACAAATAAGTTCTCAGCTACACTCAAGCAACATGCCCGCCTACCTGCCTGCCTGAATGCTCCCCACCATAATGGTCCCAGATTCTCAAGACTCTCTGCCTCTGGAACTGTAAGCAAGCCGCCCATGAGCTTTTTCTTCTGCCTTGTTCGTGGTGTTTATTTCATGGTGATAGAAAAGTAACTAAGACACAATATTCAGCTCAAACAGTATGAAGCTGCAAGAAATTCCTGTGTAAAGGACAGCACCGCAGGGACCTACGCCTTCTGTTTCAAGTAGATCTTTTACTTCACTAGAATCGAGTCAGCCTCTGAGGTTCTTCTGCTCAAACTTTTCATTTCCCGGAGTCGCTCTCATGGGACAAAAGCCGCGCCATCGCACCTAGAAACGGAAGAAACAGACCAATGAACTCATTCGGCTGTGGTGAAAAGAAGCCGTCCCAGATTTAGGTAAGAAAAATGTCCGGCCTCGGGAGGCACCCGTTGGGGAAAAGTTTGTTCTCCATCCTTGTCTGACCACGAACGCCAGCACATGCGCACTCTCCACGTGCTTGCGCGTGCCCCATGCTCATTCGCGCCTGCGTGATGCCACAGGAAGGGCAGGATGGATGTGACCCTGCTGTGGGGAGGGAGTTGAGGTGCTGAGAATGAAAAAAAAACAGAGAAAAGAAAACTTATGCGCAAGATCCTGGGGTCCATCACATGCCTTTCTATTCGTGGGTATCTTTCTGCTGTGCCAAGTGCGGGTTTTGGGGTAACAGCTAGGAATGAAAGCCTCATGGGGGACCTGTGGACACTCCAGGGTCAGACAAAATCGAAGTAGGAGAGTTAGGATGAGGGGTGGACGAATGTCAGAGAGCCATCATCCCCAGGAACCCAGGAACCCAAGGCCTCAGAGTCTGCTGGGTACTATTTCTAGGCTGGGGCACCAGACTGTCACCCTGGACTCGAAGGGAAATGACCGCACAGACTAACGGAAGCTGACCGTGAGGCTGAGTGGGAGCGGAGAGCTAGCATGACTGAATTAGGGGTTAGGTGTCACCTGAGACAGGATGGAGAAGAAATGTACCCCTGCATCACGAGCATTCGCTGGCTGTTCCCGCAAACAGCCGCTTCATCCCCAAGCCTTCAGACAGTCCTCACCCTTCAATTTCTGAATGGCAGTCACGTTGGGACTTTTTTTTATAAGTCAAGAAATTTTCTGTCAGGGCCGGAGAAACGGCTCAGTGGTTAAGAGCACTGGCTGTTCTTCCAGCCGACCCAAGTTTAACTCTCAGCATCCACGTGGGGGCTTACAACTGCTTGTAACTCTAATTTCAAGAGATCCAGTGCCCTCTCCTGGCCTCGGGCACCAGGCATGCGCCGAGAGCACAGGCAAAACACCCACACACGTACAATAATAATTTTTAAAAACTTTTAAAAAAGAAGTTTGCTGTCTATCTGGGAGACAGACAGCCCTCCTTCCCTTCTCTCCCCTTTGAAGTGATATCCAAACCCCAATGGTTTCGCTGCCTGCTTCACACATCTGTAAGCAGTTAATTTTCCCAATGGGAGACGGGCACCACAACTGAAAAGATTTTTAAAATACACACTAGGAAAATATTGCCTCAGCAAACGTGGAAGCGGAGAGCCCACATGAGTGGGCAGTGAGTGGTTCTGGTTCTGGGCAGGAGATCCAGTCTACACCAGTCGCAGTGAATCTTCTCCTGCTGGGCCATGCGGGAACGAGAGAAATGGAGGCACGGACCGCCAGTGCAGAGTAGGACCTATGGAGCATGCGCCAGCTCCTAGTGGGGAAGCCAGGGCTCAGGGCAGAGGGCTAGCAAGTATCTATGGCAGGGGTAGAGCTCAGACCAAGAACTTTCTGTGCTACAGTAAGCCTCATTTTTATATGGAGAGGTTAGTTTTTACTCTTTTAGGAAAATGAATGGCCCCTTACTCCTTAACTGCTGCCTTTGGGCCCATGTGAAAGGGACTCCGTGCTGCCCCTACATACATCTACACACACACACACACACACACACACACACACACACACACACCAGTTCCAAAGCTAGATGAGAAACTATAGAAAGTCATGATATTACAGGAGCCAAGGAAGAACCAAGACAGATGAAAGTCAGGATATGGACCTCACTTGGCCAGCTCCTTCCCTCAGTTGTGGGATATCGTGACCAAATTTGAGAACCACATGTCCAGAGGCCAAAGAAAGCCAGGCCACTGTAACTAAAGGGAGTTATGGGGAATCTGGGGCAAGAGAGACAGGCGACCCAGCTGTGCCTACACCCCACCCTTCCCCTCTTGTGTCGCAGCACGATCGTGGTGCCTCTCATCTGCGAGCAAAAAGAAAAGTGGTGTATATCCCCAACATAGTAAAGTTCAGAATGGCATTTATGTGCAGGGGTGTGGAGCTGTCCGGGTGTGGAGCAAAATGGAGGAAACACGCGATACAGGCAGCACAGTGGAAGGAATTGCCCGGTAAATCCTGGTACTCCTGAACGAATGATCCCGCGAGTGTGACACTCCGTCAGACAACTGTCAGTCTCTTCCCTTGGAGATGGTTTTCTGTGGCGAGGCTCCAGAATACAAACCCTGAACCATTCTAGAAAGGAAAACAAAGTGGAAAGTTGTGAGTATGGGGAGTGGAGGTCCAGGGAGAGGTCCGGAAGGGAAAGAACTGCAGAGAACATGGGGGCCATGGGGGAGCATTCGGATGTTGCAGCCACAAGAGGGCGCTGCTGCCCCATTACCAGCCCTGACCAGCTAGAAAATGGAGGGGGTTCAAGGATCTTAGCGGCTTCAATAAGTTTCACTCCCGCTTCACACTACCCCAACTCCCAGACTCTTCCTTTCATCTCTTAGAGGTCCCTTCTGGTCAACCTGAAAATGGTCTCGGTTCCACTCCTGTATAAGGCTTTCCCTGGTCAGCAAGCCTGGAGCCGATAGGTCAGGAGGATCTGGGTGGGGAGCTTACAGACCCCCTTGGTTTGTTTCCCAACTGCTCCCCACATGTGAGTCCAGGTTCCGAAGGGGTGGTTGGGACTGGCTCAAGCAGAGATCCACCACAGTGGCTATGGAGTCCCAATTCACTTCTAAGTCTCTCTCGTGTGTGTGTGTGTGTGTGTGTGTGTGTGTGTGTGTGTGTGTACACCATGGCTCTTCTCAGGCTGCAAACGGAGGGCATATTGAAATGATAAGCTACAATGTCAGGGTCCGCTTACATTGAAATCAGGATAGGCAGACCCCCTGCAGCTCGCACAGGATCAGATGTTGAGGCGGGGCATTTGTAAGCTCCTAGGCCCGTTCCCCACAAGCGAATCCGGGGTCCCTGTCAGAGGCCCGGCACCTGTTGTCTAGCATCAGAGCCTGTTCGCCCGCGTGCAGACACCCTGACGAATTCTGGACTCTCCTTGACTTCTCCATTTTCAGGTCTGTTGCTCAGATACCAAAACTTCCAACTACAGCCACCCCAATACGGCTTTGTCCAGATTAGGGTTTCATAGGTGTTAGTCACAGTTCAGGCTGCTGCTAGGTCCCATGAAGATTCTAAACTCTGTCTTTCCCAAGTCCTAACCACCTCTGAGGACAGAGTCGCCACAAATGGAGATTCTCCCAAAAGATGGACCGTGATCTGCTCTCACTCTACAAAGATTACAAACCAGGAGGGTACAGAGAGCCAACTGTGTTGGGATCTTATAATGGCTCCAGCTTTGGAAGCCTCGCCTGCAAGGGTGCTGTGTCATGCAAGATGAACTCAGATACAGCAGTTTTTAGAGATAATCACGGGGTCTGGACCCAGGAGACAAGGAGGGATCCCAGCAGAGTCTGGGAATGGACCAGACCCTGCACTGTCCACCTGTTAAAGAGCCAGAAAGGGTCCATTAAGGAAAATCTCCTTCTGGTTGAGAAAATAGTTTCTGGGTCGGATGAAGACCTACCATTTCTTCTGGGCCTAGTCATCACCTGACCAAGGGGTTGCTCCTCAGAAGGCAGGCTCTCTAAAAAGTTAAGGAGAACAACATTTCCTTTAGTGGCTTCCTGTCCTTTTCCTTTCCCAAATCCCTGACTTCCCAGTGCAGTCCTCAGCAGCCACCATGAGGTTTGGCGGAGTCTGCCAGCCCTCCTGCGGCAGAAGACAGGAAAGGTACAACTTTCCCTTTTTCTTTTCTCTGTCTCTTTCTCTCTGATGCTGGCCAGAACCCAAGTAAACTTTGGCTGGTCCTTCGGGCTTCCCTACTCTGTCTCTAAAGCCCACCCCACCCCCTCCACCGTGTAGCCTCTTATCCACCAAGTACCTGACCTCCATGCCTGCTTCAAGGACATGGATCCTGCCCCGATTTCGACCCTTTCTCTCTCCTCCCACCTCCTCCAGGCAGCTGCTGAGATTTACAGCCCTGGGGTATCTCACTTTACCGCCTGAGAGAATTGTCCTTGAACTTCCATTTGAGTCCAGTCTTGAATTCTTTTGTTAAGAAGATGAAGATCCATAGAAGGACCCCTTTATTTCCCCTGTATTACATCTCCATCAGGAGTCCCCAGCAAACCAAGGGACAGCTTCAGCATCCAGTGGTCCCAGCTTCAACTGAACAAATCCATGGGATAGAACCATGATCTAGATGGTGGACTGGGGCCTTTCTTTAGATGCCTTTGGGCATGGGAATAAGGAGAAAATTCTGGAAGCCAGGCTGCCTCTGACACGCCCAGTCTTCACTTGGAATTGAGTAAAGAATAGGAGGAATGCCTCCGGAAGCCTGAGAGTGCCAGAGCTTCTGCATCCATGTCTGGAGGACGTGGTTTAATATCAGCTTGGAGCAGAACGAATACCCTTGCCTCGGGTGTAACTGAGACGCAGCTGTTGCTGACTGAACACATGAGTGCCCATTCCAGCCTCTCCTCCCTCCAGGAGCTTGCTAAGGCTGCACACCCATTTCCTACGAGGTCAGGACTGACTCTGGAATCGTGCTGGTGGCTTCAGAGGGGAGGGTGAATTAAAGCAAAGACAGAAGGACATCCAGGGGAAATGGCCCATACAGGTCCTCCATGGCCTGGGCACTAATGAGAGGTGGAGGGGGTGGTTAGGATAAGCCAGTCTTATGCCCTTGGTGCAAGCACAAAGAGCCTGCTCTGGGAACAGCTCTGCTACCCCATCAGTCGCCATAGAAAAGGGACTGTCATTTCAGAACACCTGTCACCAATCTTGAACATGTCAGTTCCATGGAAAGTCAAGGACTAGAAGGATCCTAGTGGATCCAATTGAGCCAGAACCCAACATTCTGCACCTGGAATTCAAAGACAGGACTGGCTCTACCTCTCCTCTGGTCGCTCCTTTCAGGAACTGGAGAATTCTTCTGAACCTCAGTTTCTTTATGCAGCTAGCAGAATCACACAGTGCCCCTCCTAGGAGCCAAACAAATACACACGGGACTCCTGGCTTTGAAACCAACACACATTAGTTGCCCCTCAAATGCCAACATCATGGGTGAAAGATACTGCGATGTCACCCTCCCTTCCTCTGTGGTCCTCTGAACCGGCATCTGCTACACTCCTGAGCAGGCAGCAGGACGCCCTGAAGTCATGTCTCATAGTCAGAGGGCATACTTGGGTCTCAGCGCATTCTTGCATCCCAGCCCAGCCACCCTGCACCCAGCACGGAGAGCACAGGACAGGCCTGCAGCCAATCGTGGGATGAGACAGTTTGGCTCTGGAGATAAAGCCTGCCCATCTTAGAAACATTCAGACAAAACTGGGGGAAGCACTGGAGAACTTTCCAAAATGCATCATCTTCAACCACAGAACGGGAGGAGACTAGCGCTGTGGCTGGCTTCCTCATCCTCTCTCTCGACCTGGACTCCATCCTACAGAGGAGCAGAGCTGACATCCTCCTACGCCCAGCAAACCAAGAGATCCAGGCCTCATCCACAAACCCAATGCTTACAGAACAAGGCTTTCATTGTCTTCTCTTCCAGCCAATTCCCTTTAAAGTCACTGTCCTGTACAACTCCCAAGCAGCCGAGTGATCTCCTAGCCTGGTCAGGGGCTCGTCTTGCTCAAATGTTTTGAATCAGAATCACCATGAAACATCTCTTTTTAACAGCCATTAAAAAAAAAAGAGGGAGCTGAGTCCCCAAGTCTACCAGTCTCATCCAATGTCCCTGAAAACTTCCAACTATTATCCAAGATTATCTGCTTGGGCCGAGGACGGAGCTCAGCTGGTTGACTGCCTGCCTAGCGTGCACATAGCTTAGGAACAATGCCTTGTATAACATATAGGCTGCATGCTCATTGAGTCTGAAGCCAGCCTGGGATACAAGAGGCCCTGTGTCTAATAATAATAATAATAATAATAATAATAATAATAATAATAATAATAATAATCCCATTCTAATTTTACTTTAAGTAAGTCTTGATTTGTCTCCTAACAGTCCCTTCTTAAAGGGCTATCCCAAAGAACAGATCCACAATCTATGGGTCAACTCTAGCTCACTAACTATGAGCAAAAAGTGGATTTTACATTTTAAATGGTTGACAAAATGAAGAGAAGAACTCCTTGTGACTCAAAGAGTATGTGACAGGTAAATGCCAGGATCCCCCAATAAAGTCGATAGGCACACAGCCACACACATTTGGGTGCCTCCTCTAACAGAAATAGCCTCATAGCGCCAGAGGTCTTCCAGGCCGCAAAGCCTAGAATATTTTCTTCCTAGCTCTTCACAAAAACAATGGAATGCTGAGCAAATGCCTGCCATAGACCGAGCAACCTAAAACATGTGGGCCACTAGCTCTTAGGTCCTGTGCGGCCATGGTATTCATGTTTGGCTTTTGGAAATACATCCCCAAGTATTTACAAGTTATTATTTTTTTTTCTTAGGAAGTTTTTGTAGTGTGGCAGGAGAGATGGATCAGTGGTTAGGTGCACTGACTGCTTTCCAGAGGACCGGGTTCAGTTCCTAGCACCCACATGGCAGCTCACAACTGTCTGTAACTCCAGTTAGTTCTAGAGGACCCATCAATTTCAACAGACATACTGGAAGGCAAACACCAATGCACATAAAATAAAATGTTTTTGTAGTGATGTAGATCAAACCTAGATAGACCTTGCACACGCTAAACAAGCCCCCTACTCCTACGCTACAACCAAAGCTCTGACTAAATTATTTTGAAAATCGTTCCATAATGTCCATTCCAACCCCACCACATCCAGAACACATAAGATTCCTGGTTCTCAGACAGCACTGCTAACACAGGATGCATTGTCCCAACTTCACTGAAAAGTAGGGAGAGTGTCCATCCAAATGTTGTCCTCTGTTCTTATCTTTATCAAGATACCGTCCAAGGACTGGCAGGGAAGCAGGAACTAACAGAGGCCTTTCAGTGCATCCCAGAACTGAAGGGAGGTCTCAGAAGTCACTGGATCTGACTCCTCCTTTTTTCTCCTGAGCAACTAGGCCCAGGGGAGCTAAGAAATTCCCCTATCCCCTCATCTTCACTCCCTCCCTTTAATTTTAAATCCTTGGCTGAAATAGTGTATACTGACTGTCATATGATGTGACTTTGCACACACACACACACACACACACACACACACACACACAGTGGAAGTGCAAGCCCTAACTGATTAGATGTTAAGAATCTGGAAAGTAAATCAAGGCATTGTTGAAACAAAGTCCATCTATCCTGCCCAACCTTGGCATTCATTACCCAGTCAAGGCTGCCTTTTGATTTCCCTAATCAAGAACTGGCTGTTGAGCCAACCTCTCCTTGCCTGGGCTCCAGCCTCCCTGGGCTGCCTGGGATGCTGCTGAACAGGTGAGAGAAAGAGTAAAGGCCCAGTTGGGCGCAGAGCCGTGGGAGCCCGCCCTTCATGCCGCGGGGACAGAAGAGCCTTTCACTTTCTCCTGCGTGTCACGACACCAGCCGAAATTACCTTTAAATGAGGAAGAAAGTCATTATTTCATCAATAGGATTGCGTCAATTGAGGAAAATTTGTCTCCAGTGTAAACAAGCGGAACGTCTTTGCGCTCTATGAAAACAAGGTTAAATTACTTGCAGATCCGGGCGCCCGGGAGAGATGTCGGAAGTGAACCTGAAGCCTGACACATTCAAGGTCTGGGAACCGAAAATAATAGGAATTGTTCTGAGTTTTCCAGTGGACTGGAGCACGCAGATGGACACGCCTCCGTGCATATTCAAGGACTCCGGCGCTCCCCTGCTGCTTGTGGGAGGAGGAAGGGGGAGAAGAGGAGGAAGATGGCCACCTACGCCATCAAGAGAGGCAGCAACACATGTGGTAAACGCAGCCCAGGCTAACTAGTCCCTTTCAAGCTGGTCACTGTCAAGGACAGCAGGCAGCCAGAATTCGGACACGGGAGTTGCATTAAAATGAGGAATGTCTGGGTCCCAGAAGTCCAGACTTTGAACAGTCCCTTCCTTGGCTCCATCATGGCTCCATCATTCCGTCTGATAACTCATGCTGAGAGCTGATCTTTACCGTGGCAGCTCAGTGTAGGGTGAGCCCCCGGTTGTGTCCGGGTGTACCAGTCTGAGCAGTCGTGAGAACTGCAGAATGACAGGCGGTTTGGATGCTTCTATGACCACTGCCCTAGTCTTCTTGGGAGCTACAACTTGGTGAGTGTCATCCCTGTGTTGCTGCTGCAGAATCCTAAAGACTGCAAGCCAGACCTGCATTCTGCATGTCTCCACAGATCCAGGGAGAAGAGCCCAGGGCATCCTCACGTCTCACACAGTTCAGCAAGTCTCAGGACTCTTGACTGAATAGTCTCTGCCCGTTTCCATCCCTGGTCCTCTGCTCCATCTGTGTTGACACCTCTGACCTTCTAAGATGAACATGGCACGGGAAAATGTGCTCTCTGGCAAGGTGAAAATGGCAGGTGGGAAGGTCTACATTCCCGTCTTCCTGAAGACTTCTTGATGGGAAAGTGGCCGTTGGGGTCTTCTCGTCCGCTCAGGAGACCATGCTCACGTCTGGAAAAGCTTGCTATCACTCAGTTCCTCAACGGCAAAACTGAAACAAAATACATTTTAACTCTAGACTTCCCAGATCTTCGCCTGATCATAACCAACCTGCTCCCTTCAATGGCCAAGTTCTTTTACATGTGCTCAGTTGAGGAGGAGAAAAACTCAGAGTAGGCCCATGTTGCTTTAACAGGAATCTGGGGAGGCTTAGGCCAAAAGGCCTCTGGGTCTGTCCCAAGAGAAACTGAGTCTTGTTTACAGCCTGGCTATGGGAGCAAAAAACTTGACCGAGCAAAAAGAGAAAATGTTTCAAATGTTTTAAAAGGGAAAAAAAATGAGGAAAAGTGAGATGAAGCATGTTTGACCCGGGAAGAAATAAAAGTCCTTGCAGAGTGTCGAGGTGACAGATGAGAGAAGGAAGTAACACAGGTAAGAACTCCTGGATGGTCAGCCAGGGATCCAGGCAGACTAGAGAAGGCTGGACGTGGTGGAGGAAGGGTGATCTGTCCAGGCTGGGGATGAGGCCAGTCAGCAGCCCTCCACCACCAGACAGTCGTCCCTTTGTACTGACATTTATCTAACTTGTGAAATTTATAGCCACGTTACCTTCCAAGTGTGCAGGAAAGCAGATATTGGTGCTGTCAAAAGGCCTGGCTGTGGTTTGCACGACATAATGACAGATGCAGAAAACAAAGAGCAGGGGAGAAGGGACTTAGGAGACCACAAAAGAGCCTTTATAATTATGCCTCCGCCTGTCTCCAGAGCAGCCTCGCCCCCCCGCCCCGCATAAGTGCCCGGCCAGTTCGGGGTTCCTGTCATCCCTAGAGCTACGGCTGTGTGGTGCAGCTGCCTTGCATGCATCCACTATCAACTCTACAGACTTGACAGGAACTGCTCCATGCCACCCCTCTCCAGGCTAATAGCTGCCATCCCTTTAACCTTTCTCCGTGGCCCTGATTTGCCATGTCTTTAATCATCCCTGTCACTTTCTGTTGCAATCTCCAGTCCCACCACATCCCTCCCCCGGGGTGGAGAAGCCGAGCCAACTGGAATGATGGGCTGTGTGTGTGTCATCTTCTCTGTGTTCGTGGATCTGGCAGCTGTGGGTCTTGGGAAGTCTGGCATGGCAGCCCCAGGCAGTTATTGCAGCTCATAACCCAAATGGAGTTCCTCCCTGCTCCCTTGTGTATGTTACCCGGGAGCAGAAAGTCACCAAATCCAAGAATCTCTTTGAGTTGCTTCTCACCGTTTTCCTCTTGCCACCAACCTCACTACCTGACCCCAGAGCAGACCCCCTGGCCTATTGTGTGGACCTGGAGCATGGCCCCACCCCCACAAGTTCACCATCACCAGGATCCCTGCCAAAAGACATAAAAGCCAGCTTTAGAATAAAATTTAAAGGAACTGGGGGTTTAGCTTGAAAGAAATTCCCCAACTTTAGCGTGGAATTATCTGAATGGGTGGAGTGGGAACTACTTAAGCAAGCATGAAAACCTGAGTTCAGACCCCCAGAACCAACCATGTGACAGCTAGGTACAGCAAATGGTGTGTATCTGTAACCCCAGCACTGTGGGGTAGATGTGGGAGGGGCAGGCAGAGACAAGCATGTCCCAGGAGTTAGTGAGCCAGACAGCTCAGTAAGAGGTCCTGTCTCATACAGTTATTGTGAAAGTAATTGTGAAAGTAATTGAGAGTAATTGTGAAAGACATCTCAGGTGGACCCCAGCCTACAGATGCATGTACACACATGTGCATACACATCTACCCACGCATGTGAATACATACACAATCACATACTGTGGTGGTGTGAATAAGAATGGCCCCCATAGCCTCATATATGTGACCACTTAATCATCAACCAGTGGCACTACTTGGGAAGGATTGGGAGGCGTGGCCCTGTCGGGGTAGGTGTGGCCTTGTTGGAGGAAGTACATCACTAGGGATGGGCTTTGAGATTTCAAAAGCCCAAGTGAGGCACAGTGACTCTCTCTTTCTGCTGCCTAAGAGTCCAGATGTAGACCTCTCGGCTCCTTCTCTAGCACCTTCTCTGCCTACACCCTGCCATGCTCCCTACCATGATGACAATGGAGTAAACTCCCGAAACTGTAAGCCAGGACCAATTAAGTGCTTTCTACCATAAAAGTTGCCTTGATCATGGTCTCTTCACAGCAACAGAACCCTGACTGAGACACTTAAAAACACAAATAAAGGCAAAATATAATTTTTAAAATCAGTTATTGCTATCAAGTCCATCCAGCCTTCTATAGCTCCTTGATGCTATTTGCTGTGGAGATGCAAACAGCCCACCAGATCCCAAAGGCTTCTTCTGTTCCTTCTTCTATTCCAGTGTCTGATCCTCACTCCCAGAGCCCTTTCCTAGTTCATTTCCCCTCACTTATCTGCCACAGCCTGATGTTTACACCTTGCTGGACATTGCTTAGGTGCCTGTGCATATACAGGTTAGGATTCTTTGACCACAGTTGACAGAAATCAGCTGTAACTTATAGAACAGAAGAGATAGAGTGGAAACGAACGGCACAACAAAGCATGGCATGGTGGCACATGACAGTAATCCCAGCACTCAGGACGCAGAGGCAAGAGGGTCACAAGTTCAAGGCCAAACTGGGCTACATAGCAAGATCCTGAGTAAGAAAGAGAAAGAAAAGAAAAAAGCAAGAGCTGGGAACATAGCTCTCTGTGCTTGTCCAGCTGTTGTATGACATTGCCAGGGGAGGTGTGAACCCATGTCAGCAGAAAGCACACCCCAGAACAAGTGATAGCTCATGAAAGCTGCACCCCTGGACTCCAGGAGGATTCTAGAGAGAGTCTCCTCTCCCCCAAGAAACTGCTTTTGTAGCCTTGGGGAGAATATTCCTGAGTCTTTTTAGTTTTGTGAGGTCCATGGGTCTTGTGAGCCTTGCCCTCCCTCTGAGAGGGTGTCAGGTCATAGGAAATCACTATATGTGTGCAGGGTCCTGGGTTTGAGCCTCAGAACAGAAAGAAAAAAGAGCAAGAGGGAGAAAAGGGGAAAAAGAGAAGAGAAGAGATGGGAAGGGGAAGAAACAGAAGGGGATGGGGAAGAAGGCAGAGGGGAGTGGAAAGATATAGTCCAGAACTCAACCAAAGTCAGACTAGAAAAAGGACAGAGCAGAACACCTCTGAAGATCCTTCTAGAACACCTTCATCAGATGTTCTAGCTATCTTCTATCCTGATTTGACTCTGCTTAAAATTTCATTTCAGAATCTAAAACCTGGCCAACCTACATGATTAAGGGGCTATAGTAGGCTATCCTAGCAAACGATATAGTAAATAAAACCACAAGACACCCAGGTAGTCTTGCATTTCAGCTAAATAGAAGCAACTGTCTACACAAAGGCATCCTGTGGGAGGATTGCCTGAGATCATCCTTTTTCTTCCCTGAGCTCTGGGCAGACACTCCTGGGAAGTAAACTTCCCCCCAGATTCGTGTCTGCACCACACACCCCAGACCCCACCCACACCCTCAGACTCCTGTCTGCACCGCACACCCTGGACCCCATCCACACCCTCAGACTCCTGTCTGCACCGCACACCCCGGACTCCATACTCACACCCTCAGACTCATGTCTGCCCCACACACACACTGGACCCCACACTCACACCCTCATATCTGCCCCGCACACCCCGGACTCCACACTCACACCCTCAGACTCCTGTCTGCCCCGCACACACTGAACCCCACCCACACTCACACCGTCATATCTGCCGCACACACTGGACCCCACACTCACAAAGGCTTCAGCTTCTTATCAAGATGACCGTGGCTGTGATTTGTGTCCAGTTCATTTTAATAACCCAGCTTAACTTGTCTCAAAACTATATACTAGCTGACACAAATACAACTATACATGGTTTTTCACAATTATTATTTATTTCCTCTTGACCTCTACAAAGGGGAAAAACTTCATTTCACTCTTTGACAGTTTTACACGCGTATATAATGCATTTTAACCACTTGCACACACTGCCCTTTTCCACTCCTGAGAAACCCTACTTCCCAAGAAGGGGTTATTTTACTTCTTATTTTCATGTCTTCAGTTTTGTTCTGTTTAAAAAAAAAAACAACTTTGTCTTTTGCTCTTGATAAGATCCCTT